GATAAACCAGTGTGTTTGTGTCAAGACATTTTGATTTACTCTCTGTATTGTGAAATGTGCATATGTTTGTTCAACTGTGCTTTTTGGATATATCTTTTTTAATCAATAATTATGTTTTCCATTAAACAACAAGTGTATTTTTTAGAGATGTCCCGATCCGATCACGTGATCGGGGATCGGAGCCGATCACGTGATTTTCAAAAGATCGGAATCGGGAGGAAAAAAATCGGGGATCGGGTTTTTTTTTATTTAAATTTTTTTTTTTTTATTCAATATACAAAACAAAAATGACCATGTTCAAGTCTTAAAGTCATCCTGAGGCCTTAGTTTTGGTTTCAAATGACACAACATCATGTATGTGTTGCTTCTTTGGGGCTTGTTTTCATAGACCTGCTTATTTCTCTCAAATCTGGCAGCAGAGTGGGCAGGGCGCAGTGTCTAATAGTAGCAGTAAGCTAACGAGTACTGATAAGCTTTATTTTGTTTTGATCCAATGCTGCACAACTGAACTGATCCAATGCTGCTGTGAAAGAAAGAAGCTATATCCATGTTGGATAGAATATCCAATTTAAATAAAAAAATAACCTTAAGGGACAACTTGAATGCTTTTTTTTCTATTAATGCATTGCATAAAGATCGGATCGGGAAAAATCGGTATCGGCAAATTGTCAAAATCAAATGATCGGAATCGGATCGGGAGCAAAACAAGGTGATCGGGACATCCCTAGTATTTTTGACATACATTTTTTTTTAAATCGTTGTTAAGATTTAATGAAATACGTTAAAATTATTTAAAAAAGTGTGAACATTTGCTTTTCATATTGAATCCAGCAGTTGTTCTTCTTCTATTTTAATGTTTTAATTGTGTTTGCATTACTAGCAATTTTGCTTTGCACCTGTGCAGGGGGGGATATTTATGTTTTAATTGCACTTCATTCTGATCCCAGCACCAACCACTTAAACGTTTTGCTTTGCAACTTAAAACTGAGAATCCTCACAAGTGTTTTCCCTCTCTCTGGTAGTGTCGGAGCCCCCCAGCACGCTGCACCGACCCCAGCCTCTGCCCCCCTCCTCGGGTCACCAGGGGTCAGGGGTCGGAGGTCAGGTTGAAGGAGGCTCTCCGTACTGCCTGGCCTCCGGACGACACTCCTTCTCCGGGTACTCGGACGGCTTCGTGAGCGCTGGAGGACCGGCCAACAGCATGAACCCCTCCTTAGGAAACGGACTCTCTCCACAGGTGAGACTGCAGCCAGAGAAACATGTGATTTTAGATTTTATAGCAGAATCAGGATGAGGTTTTTACCCATGATGGTTTGCACGCTCAAGGAATTTCACTTTGTGTTTTTGTGCATTAAATAAACCCGTTAAGAGAACATACACAATAGAAAATATAGAATGTATTTTAAATAGAAGAATCAGAATCAGGTTAATAGCCAAGTATTTTTAGACATTCGATACATTTGTTTTGATGTATTAAAGTGCATACATAACAAACACATGTTAAGAATAGGACAATTTACTCTTGAAAAACAAGATATGATTTTATTGGAATATATGAAGATGATAACGAAGAAAATACAAAATAATTCTACAAAAATAGGACAGTTTATTACAGGATGTGGTGGATTTCATATATTTGAAGATAATTGACCTTAACTATCTAAATATGTACGTTTGCAGTGAATTCATTTGACAAGAATTCGACTTGTGTGTTTGACGCTCTGCTCGCCTTTAGAGATGAATTTCAGATAGTTTAAAGTATTTGAGGTATGTATAATATCCCTTTAGACGCCCAGCTGCACACAATACATCGGGAGCTTTAAAAAGTCATATTTCAAACAATGACATAAATACACCCTAAAATGTACTCTCAGTGTTTGAGGAGGAAAGTAAGATGACTCTACAAGGACAGAGGACAATTGAGTGTGTGACAAAAGGAAAGTGAAAAGAGAATTACAGCCAATTATCTGGCGTGAAGTCTTAAAGTCTTTGCACCTAGAATAGAGGTTAGGACAGAGGAGACAGAGGTTAGGACAGAGGAGACAGAAGTGAGGACAGAGGAAACAGAGGAAACAGAGGTTAATACAGATGAGACAGAGGTTAGGACAGAGGAGATAGAGGTTAGGATAGAGGAGACAGAGGTGAGGACAGAGGGGACAGAGGTGAGGACAGAGGAGACATAGGTAAGGACAGAGGACACAGAGGTTAAGACAGATGAGACAGAGGTCAGGACGGAGGAGAGAGAGGTTAGGTCAGAGGAGACAGAGATTTTGGACAGAGGAGACAAAGGAGACAGAGGTTAGGACACAGGAGACACTAACAGGCAGAAAATGAGATTTCAGCCTGGCACAGCCTGACTCCTCAGAGATCAGCGGCAGTGTGAATACCGACACACACACATGCTCACAGTAATTACACACACACACACACACACACACACACACACACACACACACACACACACACACACACACACACACACACACACACACACACACAT